ACAACTCCGAACTTATGCTTTCGGGGCCAGACCGGCTGGCCCTATCGACAGCCTTGTGTCATCCGAGGAGGCATACGCCGTCGCTGCAAGCACAGATTATGACTTAGAGGCGCCGCTGGCTTTTCAGCCAAGCACAATTGCCAATTGTGCGAACCAACGGTTCCTCTCGTACTGGCTTGGCATCATCTCACGTTCACAAGTCTTACGTTTTTGTGTGTTTTGTGTGTTTCTCAAAAAAAGGGCGACAGCCTTCAGATATTATCGGCCCCAGGTAACTGACAAGTAATGGATTTTTTTTTATTTTTTATGGTTTGCATTTATTACATTTGAAGCCACGGGGGCCGGGAATCCTCCACAAACAACCTCCACATTCGATGCGTGTTGTGTGTTTCTCAAAAAAAGTGCGACAGCCTTGAGATATTATCGGCCCCAGGTAATTAATTGACAAGTAGTGGATTTCATTCAACCGATTCGACGTTTTGTTCAGTCCAAGGCTGTTGCACGGGGTGGTACGAACACCGCCCCCCGTAATCGCCCCGGGCATGGCTCTGGTCTATGGGTATAGGTGGAAAGTGGGTCCGGCGTCCCACATACAATACAATATACATATAGTCCAAACGCTGCCATCTGCTGAAATAATGCTCCCAAATGCTGGGATATACTGAAATGCTCCCAGACTGAGGTAAAGCTGCCATCTTTCAGTACGGCATCCCTCTTCAGGCCCCTTCTTGAGCAGTTCCACCGAGGTCAGATGCAAACTTCTACCGTCTTCCCCCGAACATAACGCACCCTAAAAATGAACGTGTACAAGCTACATTTCCGGCCAGATACAGCCAAAATAAGCGTGCGTTGTGTTCGGGGGAACTCAGGTCTGTATTTGACCAGTTTATGGTAACTTGTACCGATTTGAGAGCTGCGCCCGTTGGCGAGAGACACTGCTTGATAAGCACATCATTCAAAAACAGAAAAAGAAGAGGGAGGAAAAATCAGAAAGACGGACTCGTCTGCCCCGTTGCAAGGCAGATTGTCCATCTAGCGCAGTGTCTGTGGCAGCAGATTCTGGGCAAGCGCCACTTCACTGTTTAGCTGAGGCGTGGGAAAGGAAGGGGCATATAGTAGTTTCGTTCGAAAGGGGACAACTGTTCAAAAGGAGAGAAGGATATATCATGGCGGTGCCGCGGTGTATCTATCTTTCCATTGGCCTCGCTCTGCCACTCACCAAATGTGCAAAATGAGAATGAATGTTCCGATAGAACATGGAAAGATAGACCGCGGCACCGCCATAATTTATCCTTTTTGCATGTGGTGAGTGGTGGTGGAGGAAGAACCTATCGAACAGTTGTGTCCTTCCTCCACCACTCACCACATGCAAAAAGAATAAACTATGGCGGTGCCGCGGTGTATCTTTCCATGTTCTAGTGGAACATTCATTCTCATTTTGCACGTGTCCTTCCTCCACCCCTCACCACATGCAAAAAAGGTAAATTATGGCGGTGCCGCGGTGTATCTTTCCATGTTCTAGCGGAACATTCATTCTCATTTTTCACATTTGGTGAGTGGCGGAGCGAGGCCAACAGTCCGTGTCCGTAAAAGGTTAAGGTCCCTCCCTCTGGTTCGAGAGAGGGATCCGGATCTCCCTAGAATTGTTCATGACCTTCAAAATATAAAGTTTTAGCCGTTCATTCTAGTATATGCAGTCCCAAGTTCAACTCCCGTCTTCACCCGAGTAGAACGCCCGGTTGTTACAGCTGTATTTACGGCAACTTTCAGTCCACATGCAGCTCAATAATGACCGGCCGTTCTATTCGCCCGAAGGCGGTAGAGTCCCCCTTACTCGCTCTCTGATCTGAATTTTGCTGGTTTGCCATGGTGCCCTACTTTTGGTTACAAGATAGCTCGCAAGCTCAGCAACAACACCACAGCAGCATATTGTAGCCACCAGAGGCCTGAAACGACATATGTGTGGAATTCCCCCCAATGCAATTCAACCCAAAGACTGCAACTAATTAAGTATTCATTCATTATTCCGCCGGTGACGAGTTAACATTGAAAAAAAAAAAAAAAAAAAAAAAAAAAGTTTATCAGGTGGTCCATCGGACCATTTAAAATTTAAAAAAAAAGAAAAAAAGCACGAGGACAATGTGCAACAACAAGCAGCCAGACAGACAGACAGACAATCAACCCAAAGACTGCAACTAATTAAGTATTCATTCATTATTCCGCCGGTGACGAGTTAACATTGAAAAAAAAAAAAAAAAAAAAAACGTTTATCAGATGGTCCATCAGACCATTTAAAATTAAAAAAAAATGAAAAAAAGCACGATGACAATGTGCAACAACAAGCAGACAGACAGACAGACAGACAGACAGACAATCACGTAACCACTACTGTGACTCGAGAAAGGACGAAGATCCACCAGGTTTCAAGAACAAAGAATTAGAAAAATAAAATAAAAAAACAATGAATTTTTCAGAAAGAATTTGGGAAAACTAAACGTCACAAGGGGCAGTAGCGCTGTGGCACAGCGACCAGAGTTTATTTTTTAATTAAGAGTGAAAAACCCAATAGAAAAAAACTATGGTTAAAAATCAAGAGACGCTGCAGAACCGGAGGGCATTGTCACTTAATGCCCGCCGATGGCAACGAATGAACACGACGATGATTGCTCCTCCCTTCCCTTCGCATGACTTTCAGCTGAGATCCCGACGACGCGTCATATCTATAACCTTCCGTCCGGACTGCCCTTCGTCCATCCCACCTGCTTGTTGGGATAGGCTCATTGCCGTTCCCGCCATAATTTCGAACAGTGGAAAGACAAACGAAAACGATAGAATGATGAGATCGTTGCTTTTCCCGCCATATAATTCCAAACAGTAGTTGTCATTCTCAGACTGAAAGGAATGCGAAAAGGATCACATCAATGCTTTCCCGCCATAATTCCGATCAGTCGTTTTGCCGCCATAATTCCGATCAGCCGTCATTCTAAGACTGAAACGACTACGACGACGATGTCGAAGGAGGACAACCATCTGAAGCTGAGGCTATAACGACACGGCACGTGATCTATAAACTTCAGACAGACTTTCATTCATCCAAATGCGCGCTGCCGGGATAGGATAAATGCCGTTCCCGCCATTATTCCAAAAACTTGACAGACCGAAACGAATCGGATGGGATCGGGTGGCTGGTTTTCCCGCGATAATTCCAGACAGTTGGAATTCTCAAAACTGAAACGAATACGATGACGCCGAAGGAGGACAGTCTCACATCTGCACGACCAACCAACGACGGACGGGTCACAGACGATATGATGGAAAAGCCAAGAGAAGGTCAGATAAAATGAATCGGAGCGTCAGCGGTGAGGGGACAGGAAGGACTGACATTCCAGAGACTATACCAGAACCTCAAAAGGCAAACCTAAAACTCGAGGGTTCAAAAAAAAAAAAAAAAAAAAAAAAAAACTCTGAGGCTGCCCCTCGAGTTGCAAACTGCCCTAGAGCTCCGAGATTTCAATTCACACAAAAAAGGAAAAAAGGAAAAAAAAATGCACAAAAAGAACGAAAGAAAATAAAACAATGTATGGTACAATAACAAGGATGAAGGGCAAAAACAGGAACAGAAAACAAAACGCAGGGTGTGCAGTAGATACGGTAACACGCACGCGCCTAAAGGGTCTAATTACCCCCCACTGGCCTTTCGCCAACATTTTGACTGCATCTGGACAGAGCTTCTGTCCAGATGCATTCAAAATCTTGGCGGAAGGCCACTGGTGTGCAACTAGGCCCTAACTACCCCGGCGTAACAGCGACGTACAAACGCATACTTCTACACTTAGGCGATGAATCTAGTCAGGATGTCGGCGTAGGGAGTAGCTCCTCCCTGTGGCGTTATAGGCCTATTAAACAACACTGACGGTTTTCTTGCGGCAAAAGGAAAAAACAAACGGCATGGAGATTGCCGAGGAGCACTCTGACCGGAAGAAAAATGGAAAAAAAAAAAAAAAAAAAAAAAAGAGTTACATTAACTTACATACTTTCACGGCCTTTTGTCTAAGTAAGATCGTAGTGTAGTCTATCTGTTCAGATCAGTTTACTATCGGATCCGTGCTCCATCGAGCCACATGATATTACTCAAGAAAAAAAAAAAAAAAATTGCAATAGGATAAAAAGAGTACATCTTTCCTTACTCTCTCAGAAAACAGAGAAAGTCAAGATCTTTCCTCGATTCTCAACAACGAACTCGTGTTTCTCTACCGAGATCTGGACTTAATTCAGGTCATCATATACATTCATATCTGGGCGTAATTGCTGCCATATACATCCAGGAAGGGCATCGAGTGAGTATGCCCTTAGAGGCAGGATCGCATACAATCACCCCCCCCCCAGGACAACACCTTCTGTAGACACTGAGGACCCGTGCCCACACTTGCCATCTTGTGTGCTCACGTAGGACGAACCTGGTCTGTATTCTGCACTAAATTGTTGCTAATTTAGCACGAAACTCCATCGATCAGGACTGATCCTGACCTGGAACAGTTGAAAGAAAGAAAGGAAGAAAGAAAGAAAAAGCAATAGCCAGCAAACTTGCTTACGAAAACGACTAATTAAAGAGCAACACAGGCCGTACGTTCTATTCGGGGGAAGACGATAGCTTCGTGTCCTTCGAACGCAGAACGACTAAAGGCATATATGTAACAATATATATAAACTGTAAATATGTGTTCATGTACCTATGAAAGTTACCCAAAAAAAAAAAAAAAAAAAAAAAAGTTACCCAATCAGGCGAGAGCTATCGTCTTCCCGCCCCCGAATAGAACGTACGGTCATCGTAGCTGTATTTGGGGCAACTGTCAGGCTAGATTCGGCAATAACGGTTGTACATTCTGCTCGGTTGAAGGTAAAAGGAAGGATTCTATACTGAATGTGCGACACGGAAAAAGCGTTCCTTCCCTCACCTTTTCAAAAGAACTCCGAAAACAAAATCAAGGCGGGGGAAAAGAACGGAGAACGTGGAAAACATGCGAGAAAAAAAAAACGCAAGTGATTAGAAGAGGGATGAATCCAGGGAAGACTAGAGGAGGAACAAGTAGAGGAGAGGAACTTACCGCGGAGCGTCAATGTATGCTTGCTAGTCCTCCGGTGCTTGTGGCCGATCGTAAGCCTTGTCACAATTGCCGATGTGATGAATATACAATCTTCTGGGCGATGCTTGAGCGACGCTTGGGCGACGATTTGACCGAGCGATGATTTGATCGGACGAAAATTGGGCTACGACTGGGCGACGATTGGGCGACGATTGGGCGGCGACGATTGGGCGGCGATTGGGCGGCGACGATTGGGCGACGATTGGGCGACGATTGGGCGACGATTGGGCGACGATTGGGCGGCGATTGGGCAGCGATTGGGCGGCGACGATTGGGAGACGATTGGGCAACACGTCCGCCAAGTCTCAGGTTACCATAACGGTGAGAGAGGGGAGCTCGATATCTCAATCAAGTTCATGAGCCTAAATGAAATGATTAAAATCCACGTGACGGAGATTCCCGCCTCAACGGAAATCCAAGAATGGATATTTTCTACATCGGACGTGACATGCAAGCAATGACTGACAAGTGGTGCAGCTATACAGAGTGTCACCATCTATTGCTTAAGAAAATTTCCAATAAAATTTCCCCCCGCCAACGAGGACTATATTTGGGCTATCATCGAGCCTCATCAATCATACCCGTCACTTCTGCGGTAACGATTGACATACCCTAAGATCAAAACGAGGTTGCCGATCAAATTGGTACACCATCGCATGGTAGATCCGTTTGGGACCCCGGCGTTGTGCATTCTCTTCCTCTTACGTAGAAGACCCACCAGGTGCGTGTCGTAGCACGCACATAGACAGAGAAGCGGGAGACCAGAGAAAGAGAACGGCGATTATCCAGAGATTGGGAGAGGGATTGAAGGACGGACTGAATGGTGCGTGATGTAGCATATACATAGAATGAGGCAGAAGAAGGCGGAAGAGGAGCAGAAAAGGAGAGAAGCACTTGGGCGGGGGGAAGGCGGCGGGGGTAAGGGGGTGGGGGGGGGGGGGGGCGCGGGGGAGGATGAGGAAAAGAGAAAAGAGAGTCAACGACAGCGAATGACTGCGAATGATTGAAAGAACGACAGAGGTAGAGTTGAGCGTCATCGATGGACGGAAAAGCATTCGGCAGTTGATCTAACAAGGATCTCAACGAGACGCATATTCCGCTGCATATACCTCTCTCTATATCTGTAACTATACACGGAACCAAAAGATGAGGAGGAAAAGAACGAGAGAGGTAGAGAAAAAGAGAGAGACAGTAAGGAGAAAACAGATAGAGAGAGAGAGAGATGGCGAGAGGGGAATCCAACCGTCGGAAAGAGACAGACGAAGACCATGCGACGTCGATCTTCGCTCGTGAGCATGTGCAATTACAAGCCATACTACGCTACGACCGAGTGCTGTTTCCATCAGGGAACCCAAGACTGCTGGTGTTCGATGATGACGACCCGGAAAGCTCGGCGCCTCTGCTGCCTGTAGTCCGACGTGGCGATCTCGGACTCTCCGCTGGCAGCATCTCTGGCCCTCGCATTTTGTCCACATCCCATAGCAACCTCCCCTGACTGTCTCTGCATACCTCTCCCCTCAAGATACGCTGCCTGACGGCCTCATGCGCCTCTGTATACTCGGAGAATCGCAGACTCACACCGGGCTCGTTATGCAGGCCCGCCGCGTCCGACTGCTCCACACACTTCTCCACCTCCTTCAAAAACTGGTCTTGTACGTTCAAGAACATCGCCGCTGCCACTGGATTGGCCGGCGAATTCGTCTCGATCGTATAAAAGATCTTCTGAACGTAAGTCAAGACGTGCACGATGTAGTCCTTGGGCGCCGACCAAGTCGGAAAAGCTTGAGATAAGTCCAGCTCCCCAGAGGGATAGACTCTCGGATGAAAGACATAGGATGTGAAGAAAAGCCTAGGGCGCTCAGAGGGGTAGGTGTCCGGAATCTGAAGGATAAACTTGAAAATGCCGCCTCGGTAGCTCCCTTGTCTCACGAAAATGACGCCATTCCACAGATAGAGAGAATGAAATGACGGCATGACGTACACGCCGCTGGGAGCATGATACTTCAAATTCTTATATTCTATAATCAAAGCCGTCTCACGGAAATAAGGTGAGTATTGGTGAGGCTTGGGCGGCGACGTGTGCGGAGACTCCACGACAGCTCCGCCGTGCTTCAGCCGGTCGCTGCCACCGTCCGTCATCCGCTTGCTTGGTGATAGCATTGCGCTCGACTGATTCATGACGATAGCTTGGAATCAATTGATTGATTTCCTTCACTGACAATCTGTACTTCGATCGGAGTCGATTTCGCAAAAGATGACCCGATGGATGGAAGGGAAAGAGAGAGAGAGAGAGAGAGAGAGAGAGAGAGAAGAGAGGAAAAGGTGTTCACTGCCCTCGCGGGGCAGCACTCACAAGATCACGCATAGAGGCGTGAGAAGGGAGAGACGGCAAGCGGCAGCGAGAAGTCTTTCTGTGTAAAAGGAGGCAAATGAAAGCGATTGGGATGATCAAGGCCAAAAGAAAGGAGCCTGTATTGGGGGGGAGGAGAGAGAGAGAGAGAGAGAGAGAGAGAGAGAGAGAGAGAGAGAGAGGAGAGGAGAGGAGAGGAGAGGAAAAAGTGTTCACTGCGCTCGCGGGGCAGCACTCACAAGATCACGCATAGAGGCGTGAGAAAGGAGAGACGGCAAGCGGCAGCGAGAGAAGTTCCTGTGTAGCGGTCACGATGATAACCAATTGGGATGATCAACAACAAGGCCGGAAGAAATTGGGATGATCAACAAGGCCGGAAGAAATTGAGATGATCGACAAGGCCGGAAGAAGGGAGAGACGGCAAGCGGCAAATGAAAGCAATTGGGATGATCAACAAGACCGGCATAGCACGTAAGAAATTGGAACGATCAACAAGGCCGGAAGAAAGGAGAGACGGCAAGCGGCAAATGAAAGCAATTGGAATGATCAACAACTCCGGAAGAAAGGAGAGACGGCAAGCGGCAAATGAAAGCAATTGGGATGATCAACAGCTCCAGTAGCGTGTCATCCTTGCGCAAGGGCCATGCTAATCTTCTCTGCATCGTTCCAATTTTAACGGATGTCCCGAAGGACTAAAACTCCAGTAGCGGTCACGATGATAGCCGGTTTCCGAAATGGCGGCACGACAGCGACAGCGACAGCGACAGCGACAGGAACAGCGGCGAAGGATATGCTCGATCTATCGTGGCCAGCGGTGATACTTGGAAATTGGAATCGGCCACGTCTCGTTTACAAGCAGTCTTCGGTTCACAACCCTGATGCAGTCAGTCCCGCCCGATGGCGCTTGACAGTCATTTCCGACCCACCCGGCGGGTCACCTGTACAAGTCAACAAAAGACACAGAGACAAAAGAGAGATGATGACGTGTGGGCCCCGCCTGCCGTCTTCCCCCGAGCATAACGCACCCTAAAAATGAATGTATACAAGCTATATTTCCGCCCCGATACTGCCAAATTAAATGCGCGTTGTGTTCGGGGGAATACGGTAGTACTCCCCGGCCCCGGCCAGGCCTTCCGCAAACTCAAACGGCGACCCCCTGGATTTCCCGCTCATTACGGGCGGTGGCGGACGAGAAAAAGAAAAAGAAAAAGAAAGGAAAATAAAACGTATAGGTCCCGCCCGTTGCGGTGGTGCCTGCTGCAACAGCCGCACAGACTGATTCCAGTACGATCTCCTGCGAAGCCTTCGGAACTTTTGTGAACGTATCTGACAGCATTTACGCACCGTTACTGTGGATGCATCCTACCGCAAGGAGGACCTCATTCCGTCAGAGTCGCCCGCATGAGTCGGCGCCCACATGCAGACGCGCCAATACCTCTGCCGTATCCCAGCTTCAGGGAAAGCCGCGCCAGCGTTATGGGCCTCGTTCGACACCACTACAAAACCCTTACATGTAAGGGTTTCATCGTTCCACGCCTCCCTAATGACGAAAAAAAAGATGCGAACGGAGTTCAAGGGGGGAAGGACCGGCACGCGACCTCAGCGGCGCTTCGTCGCCTGCGTTGTTCGTGTGGCTCGTGCTCAGTTGTTTTGCTTCCATAGCTATCCTACCTTCTACCCGGAGGGGTGAAGGTTACGAAGGGGAGTTAACTCCAACGCGTGTGTCCACCGTGTTGGTAACTTCGTCTTCGTGGAAACCACCTCCCCCCTAGCACAGGCTCTGTTACCAGAATTAACCAGAGTTACCAGCGTGACGCCCTACGCGGGCGTTCCGCTACAGATATTCACCCAGCTTCAGTAACTTTGCCGGCGTCTTCACTCCTCTGGTTTTGTCCGAGGGCCTCCGGATTGCCGCTTTCCTCCTCTGTCGGGAATCTATCCAAGCTCCTCTTCGGCTACAACTACAACCAGTGGTGAGATGGATGCTTTGCTTTTGTGACACGGAGAAGGGAGGCCCGCCGAAAGAAACCTAATTTTCCATTATTAATCCCCACCTAGTATTCCTCCCCGTCTGTATTCACTTCTTGGCGTCCCCTCTGTCCATACTACTAATCGCCCTTATTGGCTGCGGAGACCGCATCCCCTCTGTCCATACTACTATAAACAGTATATTTTAACTCGACCCTACGTTACTCACATACCCTTCCGCAACTTGACTTACATTTTTTGTCGTTTTTTTATGTAATAGCTTTCGTCCGCAACTGCCCATGCTTCATTCCCACCACTCTTCTACTCATCTACCCTCACTTCCTACACCTAGAACCCCCGAAATGAATTCTCGTGCGTCTTCATATTCCCACTGCCCTCCCTATGCCTACCCCCACACTGCACCACTAATGAATAGTAAGAAAGGCTGGGCCCTAACCCGTTCGGACCGAGCGAACCTTACCTAATGTGGCCACTTCATCCCCCCCCGGATACCCAATTCTACTATTCGGGATCCGAAATCCCCTTCCCTGGGCCCACTTCCCCTCACCAATACCTCTCGACTTCTATCATTTCTTTGTCCTTTCTGTGTGATAGTAATTTCGACAGGTCGGCCGGCAGCGACGATCCTCGACTTTTTGCGACACTGTACACAGGCCCGCCCACCCCTCTTCGGCGCGAAAGTGACCCAGATTCTTAATTATTACTGGTCCTTCGCAGACCAAGTCTTTCGCGCTCCCCCTTCAGCCCCGAACGACACGAATCATCCAGCTCGCTTAACTTAAGACATTACAATATCGTTGCTCCCCATTCCCAAAACCACCCGCACCCCTTTCGTAACCCACCCCAAACTTCGCCTACCTCTAACCGGATCTGATCGACCCCCCACTCTCATCTGTTGTAGGTCATTCCAACTACCCTACCACCTCATCTCTTCTCGGCAAGAATATATATTTCTACACGAGCATACTTGGCTACGCTCTTGCGGTTAAACACCTACTATCCTTCACAACGACCACCCCGATCTGCAACCCACAACGCATTGATCGAAATCGCCGCTGGTTATCTCACAAGGGAAGGAAAGGAAAACACACTCTTGCGCTCTTAGCACAAAATGGCCAATTCGCAGCAAAATGCTGATGAAGCCCAAAAGCTCACAGAGATCATGAAGGGTTGGTTCATTGACCACGTATCGCAGGATGTCTCTGATTATGTGGAAACAACGATCAACGAAGAACAGGACTGTATTGATATAAGACCAAATGAAACCTTCCAAAGAGCACAAAACGAATTCCTCAAACAGATGACTGTTTCGATTGTTTTTCAGGGGGAAACAAAGAACTGGTTGAACGATAAAAAGTTCGACGGTTCGACCTAGTGAGATACCTGGAATAATCTGTCATGACAGAGGAAGAACTCACTTCAGAGAAGGGAACAACCCACATGGAAGGCAAAGGGCAGATGACCTATGTCGCAAAGAACATGAAAGTGGTAGAATGGCTGTTGAACACAAAAAAAAAATGAAGTTTAAAGAAGGCAACAAATAGAACTTCGTCTTTTTCTGTCAATGGCTCCCCCGCACTGAATGGCAAAAGAAGAGGGACGAGGATAAAAGAAACAATTACTGGGTTATGGCAATGCGTTTTCCCATTGCCGCTTCAGTGTACATTCGAACAAGACTGGAAGCAGCAATGGGGAAAATCGTGAAGGCATTCTCTCTGATAGGGGATCCGGAAGATCCGAAGCTGGGCAACCTCAAATATCAGTTACATCCTAATGTTGAAGAGTGGTTCAAACCCCGCTTGAAAGTTTGGGATGGCTCTGCATACTTGATGGTTGACCTGGTGAATTCAAACACCCCATAGTGCATAAACTACAACAAATATGGGCATAAGCAGGAGGAATGCCCGTTCTGTGAGTATAGCTACAGATACGGCCATTTCAGCGAAGAGTGCAAATTTGAAGATGGTAATAATACACAGAGGATTTTTTTTCCTAGGCGACAAGGCCCTTAGTCCAACTGACCGTCTCATTAGGGTAACCCCCACTCGTGGCGAAGTGGCTGGGATTGCTAAGCAGCCCCAAACAATGCTGCCCAGCAGCATGCAACCAGAAAGAAAAGTTACCAGCATAACCAAGGGAACGCCTTCTCAAGGGGAACCTTTCAGCCTTTCTCAGAATGGGGCAATGCACCCCCGGGCACATGCTCGGGGGCGAAAGCAACAACGGGGAACAAGTCGGCATGACGCCCAACTCAGACTCCCCGTTCGGGCACTCCAGCGGGCCCAGCTGCCGGACACAGTGGGTTCCAGACACCGTGGGGCAGTGGTTTCATACCACCAACCACTGGTCACCATCCACTAGGGTCCCAGGGAGACAACGGGCTGCTAGCGATAACCCAAGCAGGGGAAAACGGGAAACAGGGCCCAGACTCATCAGGTCATTCGCCGCTGGGTCCAGATCTGAATGCATCCCAGCCAGCGAAAAACCCACGAAAGAAACCCCGCACTAAGAACGAGACCATGGGCATGGTGACACAGGAGGTACAACACCCACAACCACCCGAACTGTTGGGCCCTGTCACTCCATCAGCCAGCCAAGACACCCCCTATGTCCTAACCCTACTGATTTTTAAGCAAAGTAATCAAACTACTTTGCTGTTGCTCCAACAGACTGACAATAATGATTTCTTTCTTTCCTCCCCCACAGCCAGTACGTTTCCTCACCCGAATGAATTTTTAAACTTTGCAAGGAAGATGTTGGACAAAAGATATTTCCTAAGACCAATCCCAGCAATGCCATGTACCTCGGGCTATAAAAAAGGTCAATTAGGAAAAACCCACCCCATCCTCAGCCTGTGTCTGGAAGCAGCCCAGGCCCCGGGCACAGATCCTTAGGTGGCTGACAAGGGATTGTTATAGGCATCGATCTCATGGTTCAAAAAAAATAATGTCAAAGAACAATTCTACCCTCATTAGGGGATGGGATCCTGGGAGATGTCATCGCAGATCTGGACTCCCACATCCCAAAGGAACGATTCATGTTTTCAAAATTCATCTTGGAATCCACAAAAATCCCGTGGGACGTGCCGAGCCTGATCCAGACTCAAAACTTGGAGGGAGCGCAACAAGAGTATCCAAGTAGGGTTGCAGGTCACTACAGCAAATGAAAGGTAGACTCTCATTGGCCTCCTGGAATGTAAGAGGTTTGGTAGACAACAATGGTAAACAAAAAAGGGGAAGGGTGAAAATATGGATTCCCTCATGTCGCATCTCGATCATGCTTTTGCAGGAAACTAAGCTTTGCGAAGAAAAGCTAGCTTCCATGCCGGCATGGTGGGGAGGTCCTCAGATCTGGGCTCCAGCCCAACGGACGAGAGGTGGCACTGGCATCCTGGTACACAATAAATTAGCAAACTCTATAAAAGAAACCAGGACAGATCCAACAGGATATTGGTGTTGGGCAAAATTGGAATTGAACGGTCAAAGTTGGACCTTCCTCTCACTCTATGTCCCTGCAGACCACACTGGGAAGACCAATTTCATCAACTTCATAAAGGAACTGATCCCCGTTTTTTAGTACATCATCGTGGGGGGAGACTGGAATACAGTCCCCAACCCGGAGATAGACTCTACCACTCCACTATCCCACCCCGGGGAATCAGCAGCACTCAATGATCTCATGGTGGACCAATGCCTCTTTGACCCCTTCAGGATGCTCCATCCAGACATCTCTCCTACACATGGACCTCCAACATCGTATCAGAAAATAAACCACTCACAATGCGCAAATTGGCAACATAAAAATTGTGGGTTTTTTTTTGGGCGGTTTATCATATGCGGGCACCCTTTTTAAACTGTTGGTTTCGTGTTAATAAATAGTTTGCCGGAGGTAGTGTCATGTGTTCCACCAAAAGTGAAGGAACTCAACGTTGATAACATACGTCATAAACATGTGACACTGTGTTAAACACTTTTTCAATTGATGAAAAGTTGTTGATAAGCTGTTTATAAGTTGTTGTAATGTTGTTTACAAGTTGTTTAAATGTGTTGAAATATTGTTGAAATGTTGTTTAAATGTGATGAAATGTTGTTGAAATGTTGTTGAAATGATATGAGAGAGAGAGAGAGAGAGAGAGAGAGAGAGAGAGAGAGAGAGAGAGA